GATTCCCTCAACCATCCTTCCGCTGGACAGCAGCCAGCGGGGACCTTTGCATTTTAAACCACTAGAGCCCCCCCACCCATACCATTTATTCATTTATTTTGCTTAAGCTTTTTCCAAATCAGAAGTAGCCTTCCATGCGGGAAGTCAACAGGGTTGGGTGCGGCGGGACAAAGAGCGGGTGATCTGTTATGTCGGTTATTTTTGTTGTTGCGGATTTTTTTTTCATTTTTCATTTTGGCATGTGTTTATGTTATTGGTTTGTTCGGTTGCAATTTTTCTCTCCTCTTGTTTGTTTTTTTTTAAATGTCAAAACCAAGCCTTAATAAAAATTTAAATTTAAAAAAAAGAAGAAGAAAAAGTAGCCTTCTAGATATTTTTGTTGGTGATCCCGTTCAGCCTCGAGAAGGCTCAGGGTCCCCCAAAAGAGGTCCCCAAACTTGCTTTGCTTGCCCAACCATTGTCTTAAACCAGGGGTTTCCAATTGGGGTGACTGAACCATTTTGGGGGTGCAAGATGGCATTTTAGGGGATCCGACAAAGAGTGGCTTGTGTAGTTTTTTGTGGGTTTTTTCGGGCTGTGTGGCCATGTTCTAGAAGAGTTTCTTTCTGACGTTTCGCCAGCATCTGTGGCTGGCATCTTCAGAGAAGATCATTCTCAGAGGATTCATTCTCTGAAGATGCCAGCCACAGACGCTGGCAAAACAGCAGAAAGAAACTCTTCTAGAACATGGCCACACAGCCCGAAAAACCCACAAAAAACTAGGGATGCCAGCCATGAAAGCCTACGACTTCGCAGTGGCTTGTGTCCTTGCAGTCACAAGTCCCCACTCATTTTTAATTTCCTGAATGAATTAGAATCCGACTCCTCAATTTAGATTGGCATTTTATGCCCTGAGTTATTGTTAGGTAGTTCAGTGTGTGTTTCCAAAATTCAACTTCTCCATCTTCAAGTGTGCCATTCCTTTTTGTGATGGGTAAACATTGAGCAAACATGGCATCACTAGGGTTGGCATCACCCGGGGCGGTAACTCTTAGTGTCACACGCACACACCCTTGACCGTCTTCTATACAATACGAAATCTTTAGTCATAGTTTTTTGGACTAATGCTACGCACAATTCATCATCCCTGTATATCACTGAAGGTAATGGCAATACTCTCTGAAGATGCCAGCCACAGATGCTGGCGAAACATCAGGGATACATTCTTTTAGAACACAGCCTCACAGCCCAAAAAACCCACAAAAACCTATAGTAACAGCAATAGTTGTGATATAAACCAGCATGGCATACAATGTGGCATAGTAGTTTGAGCGTTGGACTACCACTCGGGAGACCAGGGTTTGAATCCCTGCTTGAGCATAAAGACCCACTAGGGCACCCTGGGCAAGTCACACTCTCTCAGCCTCAGAGGATGGCCATAGCAAACCTCCTCAGAACAAATCTTCCCAAGAAAACCCAGCGATGGGGTCTACAGAAGTCAGAAAGGACTTGAAGGCACACAGCAACCACCAGAGAAGTATGGAACATGGTCTGCCCAATGGCTCTACTGCCTTTTATCCCACGAGACTCACAATGGGACCGTAGAAATTGTGACCCTGGGCAAGCCACAATCTCTCGGCCTCAAGGGATGGTCCTCGCCAACCTCCTCGGAGCAAATCTTCCCAAGGGAGACAGTCACACTCTCTCAGCCTCAAGAGGAGGGTCACTGCAAGCCTCCTCGGAGCAAATCTTCCCAAGGGAGCCAGTCACACTCTCTCAGCCTCAAGAGGAGGGTCACTGCAAGCCTCCTCAGAGCAAATCTTCCCAAGGGAGCCAGTCACACTCTCTCAGCCTCAAGAG